GAACTGACTTTGACAGCTGATGTAAGCAGTCTAAGGCCCGTATCGTCAGTCCTCCCTACAATTGTAGGGCGCGTTTATAGCCTCCTTGATTGTCATAGTTTTATACTTCTCCGTGTCAACGCTCTATTTTGAGGTTATGTCACAAACATCTTTTGCATCAAATTGTGCTTGCTTTTGAATTATATCATGTTTTATCAGCCTGAAATGTCCTACAATTTAAAAGAAAAACATATCTTAAGGACGACTGACGATACAGGCCTAAATGACAGACGGAGTTCAAAGTATGGTTCGGTAATTAAGGGCAGGTGTATAAACCTGGGAAAAAATTGTTACGATATCTTTATTGGGAAAATTTGCACGCAAAATTCCGGGTACATTTTTACAGAATGGATATAAAAAATATTATTAATATTATGATCAATATTGTTTATTGATCGTTCAGCGTATACTCGTTACCTCATACTTATCCTATATTGAGTAAATTTTTCAAAATACAACATTTGGTTATGCCTTTTGGGCTAGATTGGATCAATATGTTATTTTGTGATATTTATTGAAGAATATACGCTGAAATGTCATTGCGCTAAAAATGGGGATTCATTTCCCGTAATCCGTCATTCAAAAGACCCAAGATTCTTGACTTGGTGTAAAACTATTATATCCAGTGGGAAAGTTCAGATTTCAAATTTGAATTACCCGGCAACCGTATACGCGAGGAAGTGGGGAGAGGTCTTGATCGACCCGTCCGGCGTGCGGGTTAAATAATCACAATGGAACGTTGGACCGAAGAGCATCGTGCTTTTGCTATCGAGGCTCACTTTAAGAGTGGTGATTCATACGCAGCTGCACTTCGGAAATTATGACGCTGACCAAGAGATGGCCCAAGTAAGAATCTATTGAAAAAGTGGATTAAGAGATTCCGTGAAACAGAATCAACTCTTAGTTAACCCATTCCTGGCCCACACCTACTGTATCAACCGAAGAAAATGTGCGTTGAGTAAGTGATTCGATCATTGCAAATCCTCGGCGTTCTATACGGAAGCATTCCGCTGCTTTGGGAATCCCTAGGTCAATATTGCATGGCATAATGAAGAAAAAATGGGTTTCCATCATTATAAAATCCAATCAGTCCATGCTTTAAAGGAAAGTGATTACGTATTATGGAAATCTTGTGCTGAACGTATGTTGAATCTTTTTCCTACGCAGAACGTGGTTTTCAATGACGAGGCCCATTTTCACTAGACGGTTATGTGAACAAGCAAAATTGCAGATATTGGGCACCATCGAACCCAAAAGAGAAACATCAACAACATCTACATAGTCCAAAGCTGACTGTTTGGTCAGGCGTCATATCCTTTAGCGGTATTATTGGGCCGTATTTCTTTGAAGATGAAAACGGTCATGCATTGACACTCAATTCCGAGCGATACAAGGACAAGATTGACACTTTTTTTGGTCGTATTGTAAGAACAGAACGTTGATTTAACAGAAACACAAGGTTTCAACAGGATGGAGCCACTGCCCTTATTTCCAGAGAATCGATGGGCACGGTGAAAGCACTTTTTCTTTAAAAAGTTATAACCAAGTTATAACATTCACACTGGCCTCCTAGGTCACCCGACCTCACGCCATGCGATTATTGCTTGCGGGGTTATCTAAAGTCAAAAGGGTATTCTAATAATCCACGAACACATGAGCGAGTCTTTCAGAATTTGCGCGCGCGATTAGAAGAGTTTGTCCGAAGGGATGACAAACATTTGGACGGAATGATATTTAAAAAATAAAACTCGCCGAATTTACGAATATGTCGATAGTAACAAATATATTCTTTTCATTAATTTTTTTTAAATTAAAAAATGAACTTTTCCACTATGATTTGATTCAGCCAAACAATGGGGTCCTACAATATTCTCACAATTGGTTGGGACAATATACGAAGTATGTCTTGCAACCAGTATTGGATTTCAATATTGAGTGAATAAAGGATAGATGTAGTGGCTTAATACTGTGATTAAAAGTTGCAACCAACATTGAAAATTAATGTTGAGTCAATATAAAAAGATGTATTGCTTTAATAATGTAATTAAACGTTGAAGCAATATTGTCATAATTGTCATGCAACCAATGTCATATTGGTTTGATATTGGAAATCAATATTGAACCAATGTATCCAAATCTCCACAAATAAAGGGTGTCTCAGAAATATTTTCGTTTTTAGATCAGTCCTCCGGCGGAATACGCATGCTCCGGAGAAACGAGACAGTTGACAAACGTTTGGCAACATTGTTAAATTTTAGTTGCAATGGAGCGTTTTACAGGGCCGCAACGTGCTTTTTGTGTTCGCGAGTTCTATAAAAACAAGGATTCTTATGTGCTTGTACGTCGTTTGTACAGAAATCATTATAACATAGCAAGAATGAGAGATGTCCCAAGCGCAAATTTAATTAAATATTGGGTAAGAAAGTTCGAGAGCACTGGAAACACGTGTATTAGTAAACCGCCTGGACGGCCAAGGTCAGCAAGATCGAACGAAAATATTGAACGTGTGCGCCAGTCTGTTAACGAGGATCCCCGGCAATCATTAAGACTGCGTGGAGCGTCTCTAACTTTGAAGTCAACTGTTCATCGCATTATTCGCAAGGACTTGCATTTTCACCCATACAAGATTGTTGTTACACAACAATTAAAACCACAAGATCCCGCTAATCGATTAGAGTTCTGTAGAACAATGAGAGAGCATTTTAACGGTTACAACAACATATGGTTTTCTGATGAATCGAATGTTCACATTAACGGGCATGTTAATAAACAAAACTGCCGATATTGGGCCGAGCAGAACCCGCAAAATCTTCATGAGACGCCATTACACTCGCCTAAAGTTATCGTCTGGGCTGCTATGTCAGGGCAAGGAATCATTGGCCCGTATTTTTTTGAAGACAATCGTGGCCAAGCTCAAACTGTAACATCTGAGCGCTACTGCCACATGATTAGGACTTTTTTAACTCCAGCTATACAGAACCATGGTGGCTACAATAGAAACACGTTTTTCCAGCAAGATGGAGCGACTTCTCATGTCACGAATGAATCCTTGGATGCTCTTCATCAGTTATTCCCAGAGAGGGTCATCAGTCGCAGAGGAGACATTAACTGGCCACCGAGAAGTCCCTATTTGACACCAGCAGATTTTTTCTTATGGGGATACCTGAAGAGTAAGGTATACACCCCACCGCCACAAGATTTGAGAGAGTTGAAGCAAAAAATAACAGAAGAAATAAACGCCATTCCTCGAGCAATGCTTCGGAGAGTGATCGAAAACTTCAGTTCGAGATTAAGAGAGTGTGAAAACATGAACGGTGCTCATTTATCCGATACTCTTTTCCATAAATAAAATTAATGTTTAGGCTTTCGTTTGGTAATAAATTTATCTTTGTAAAAATATTCTAAGTATTTTTATTTATGGCCTAAAATAAGAAAATATTTATGAGACACCCTTTATTAGAAAATCAGCTTGGACCGATGTATCCGTAATATTATTCCTGCTACTTGGAGTAGAAGCCACCAGTCGGACTACTGACGAACAAAATTAAGATCTCACCGAGTTCATTCAAATCAAATCATTTTTAGTGAGTGTTTTATTTTCTTATCATTATCATCAATGACGCGAATTTTCGTGCATTTGAAATTCTAAATATACAATTATTTGTATAGGTATTTCTTTCTAAACGCACAATTAAAGAAACTCTTTCCATTGCAGTACAGCTTCCTCTCATAATATATACCTCTCATTCATCGGATAGAAATGTCACTTCTACGTCGCATTATGTTATTATTACCCAGTGGGGGACGTATGGAGCCGTGTGTGCGCGTCTTAACCTTTGAAATGGTGCTAATCAGGCAAGGCAAAACATCCGGGATTACAGTCAAACTGAATCCCGGTTTCGCTACGCACAAAAGGCGTCGGATGTCAATATAGGCAGAGGTTCAAGAACAAAAACCTTTGGATGTGTTTGTATATGGGTGAACGGTGGGCTTGACAGAGAGCTAATCTCGAAATTATATGGCTAAGAGGAATCAGGTTATACTAGTTTTGTAGGGATATGATTATAGTAACAATGTTTCCGCAGTGATCGAAATGATAAAGCTTACCAGTGCTAAAACGATGAAAAAGCATTAAACTAGGACTCCGTGCACTATACACGGTGTTTCAAACTCGACCCTCACCGTTGGAATATCGGAAACTGTAAGAGAAACAAAGTCGCGTAAAAGTTTCGGTACAAAATTACACCTCGAAAGTTCTGAAATTCAAAGTATTTCCGGAGAGAGACGATTTTCCTAAAACGTCGCTTTAGATCAGAACTAGCCTGTCCATTTTTCTCAAAATTGAGATTTTAAGCTATATTATACAGTAAAGTGTCGCCGATTAAGTGCAGTACTAATCTAAGTCCTAACATTTATGTTTTCCACGCAGTCTTTAAATTAAAAATAAGCATATGTTCTGAAGCAAAATAATTTTTAGTGCAGAACTATACTTTTGTACAACAGTAATTCTATGTCCACATTTCGGTAAATAATTTTTAATGCAGAAGTATCCTTTCTTGCAATAGATTTCCTTATACTAGTGAATTGTGAGGACTTAAGCTAGTTCTACTTTAAAACAAAATTGTATGTCCAAGAAAATGTGGGGTTAGGCTTATTCTGATCCATAATTTTAATAAACACCTTTTAGTGGACTTTTCAAGGCACAAACGTACACCAATAACGCAACGTAAACAAATTAGATATGAGTTTTAGAAGGAAAAAAATATTTAATCTTCTGGGCAAGCACTGTGATGGTAAGTAGTGTTTTTCTAGCTATAAAATTATTCTTAAGTAACATATTAATACGTTTTTAGGTACTGGTTTAGGATTTTTTTTAATTCTATAAATAAAAAAAAACAAATAACAAAATTTACAATCATAAAATTCTGTACTGAATAATTTTTTACTTTGTTTTTTTATAGATACCAACAACGACAAATTAAAAGTATCTTTAAGACCATTAAAAATAGACGCCCAATATTTGATGAATACAGCAATCTTATGCCGCCTAGTTATTTACTCTCTAAGGAAACGGCTGTTTTTAACAAGAGCGACAATGCATTTTGCAATATGAACCTTGAAAATATAAAATCCGTTTTAAGTCATCAATCCAATAAAGTTACACCCATTTTGGCCGATAGAAAAGTTGATTCTCAACGAACTGAGCCACTACTTGAAAAAAATGCTAGTGACGAAGTAAGAAGTGTTCTCGAAAATATTATAGGTAAGCAAACTAACGTGTAAAAAAAATAGTATAATATTAAAAACCAACTGCGGAAAATGTCACTTTTCTGGACAAAGCTGCAGAGTTCAGTAGAGTGAATTTAAGGCTAATTGAAATAAACGGCTATTATAGGAAGACCTACTTTTCAGTCTAGTCCAGAAAAGGAGGACTTTACCAGTAGCTTACCAGTACGCAAAAAATTATTCTCAAGGTACATGGTATACATCTCGCTTAAGTTAGGAGTTTTTGGCCAAGCATATTGACTTTCAGTCAAATAAATGAATGTGGCCCCTAACAGTTTTTTTTTAATAGACTGTTTTTACAAGGTGTGTATACTTCGTCTATCCTCAAAAATAATATCTGGAGCTCCGATTTTGTTGATAATAGTTTTGAGGCTAAAAAACAATAGGCTTTTGAGGCTTTTCAAAAACCATATTACGTTATCCTAGGGGACTAGAACGAGAGTACCTCCCGGTCGGCTTAAAAGTATATTATTCATTTATTTATTTTTAATGTTTATGTAAATAATATTCGTAACTGATAAATGATTTGTTTTTTATTTTCGTTGTCAATTTTAAGTACTTTGTCATAAATTTCTAACTGAGACTTTTGATTCTAGATGTAATAGAAACTAACCAACTAGACCCTGAAAAGTATGGCAAACGAAAGAATATTCTCGAAGAGGATTTTGTATTTATCATCGGACACGGATCTTTTCCAAACTGAAGAAAACGACCCTAATTTTAATCCACAAGAAAGCAAAAAGAAGAAGAGAAAAAACTTCAATTTTGAAAACAATTATAAAGAAACTGATATAAGTTTTAACAAAGATGAAAAGAATAAAAAAGCTATAAAAATATTTAAAAAAACGTAAGACGAGAAAATACTTGGAAAAGAAACATAATTAAGTCATCGAGAAATCAAGGATAGAAATACACCAAGCGAAAGAAACAATTAGCAAGAAAAATTAAAAAATCATGTGAAGAGAAATGTAGAATGAAGTATGTAAAAAATCAGTGAAGAAGAAAGACATAAAATATTTGCAGAATATTGTGGACTAGGAGGTGCCAATCGCCAACGTGATTTTATATCCAAATACGTTACAGTAGTTTCTAAACCTAGAACTAGAATTCGTAAAAAGAATAAGCATCATCCCGCTGAAGGCCCAGAAGAGAACTACAGTACATTTTTAGAACTGTCTAATGATAATAAAAACAGTAGAAGACACAGTTCTTTTGCATACTCTCTTGCCAAAAATGTAAACAATAAGGTGCAGATTTCTAAATACACTGCACCCAGGTAGTCAAAACCGTTATGGACTTTTATATAAACTTATTTGAAACAATTGAAAGTCTTACTATAGACAAACAACCAGTCGTAAATATTTACCCCCAAAACTTAACATTAGCAAGATGTGAAAGGATGTCAGGAAAATAATATTACGAAAACAGTGACTGGAGCAATGTATAGAACAATCTTTAACAGAGATTTTAATCTATCCTTTTTCCACCCCAAAAAGGATCTTTGCGATATTTGCCACAAGTACGATAATGGTTCTCCAAAAGACAAACTAGAGTACGAAGAAGCATGACTAAATTATATCCATAAACATATAATAAGCCTAAGTCTAAGAAGTGGACTTGCTACTTGCTAAAATTAAAAGTAATCTAGGTGTATGTCCAACTTTTTGCTTTAACGTTAATGTTTTTTGTTTTTACTAAGGTATATTAAAAACAGACATGTTTAGAACATGTGTACAAATTTTCATTAAAATATCTGTATACATAAAGAACCTATCAAGAAAAATCGTTTCCTGAACACTTTGCTTTTTGGACTTAGGCTGGTTCTATTCTAAAGCGACGAAAATCGTTTTAATTTTTTCCTGACTTTATTTGTAGTGGGAATAACTTGCACACTAACATTGCCACTTTTTGTTCTCTACTAGATGGCATAATTAGAATTTCAATATGACGTTTCGTCTCTTGTCCTCCAACGTCAACTTCCTTCTTTCTAATAGACGCCATACTGAATCTTAATGCAGATGGATAGAGTTTTCAACTCCGATATCAAAAATATATAATATATCGTATATTGACATTGCCAAACCTCCGTTATTCTAGAAAAACGGAATTTCCTAGGTAGGCCTTGAAATTATCAAATTTCATTTGTTTCGTATACCAGACCAGCCCTCAAATTGAATATAGCAACAGAGATTGGAAGACTGGGGAAAAGAGAAATAAATCGAGCAGTAAACAATGTACACTGTACAGAGAAGAGTCAGGCATTGCATACAAAATAACGGACATATATCCATCAACAAAAATTTTCATGTTGTGTTCAGGTTTCACGATACCTTTTTATTTCCTTATAATTTTTATCCAACGGCAAATTCATGGCCTACTAAGCACTGAATTTAGGACTGAAAAGTCCATTTAGATGTATAAAACTCCAATCTAGCGACCATATGAAAAAAAAGTTGGTGATGGAAGTTGAAAGAAGGAATGTCTAAATGACAACATGCACATTATTCTGAAATTCCATATCAAATAAAAATCGTGAAACAATAAAAGTGATTTTGGGATAAATCTGGTGTACGACACAAATGACTATCTGGTAATTTCAAGGAATACCCAAGTAATTCTGATTTTTTTTTAAATAACTAAGGTTTGGCAATGTTAAGGTATGACGTATTATACATTTTTGAAATCAGAATTAAAAACCCTATTCATCTGTGCAAGATGGCGTTACTAAGAAAAATAAATTTGATGCTAGAGGATACGAGGCGAAATGTCATATTGAAATTTTAATTATGCCATCCTGTAGAGGAGAAAAAGTGGCAATGTTAATGAGCAATTTATTTTGAAATCCCACTACAAATAAAGTCAGGAAAAAATTAAAGCCATGTTGGGAAAATTCTGTTTTTCCCGTCTCTCTTCGGAAATACTTTGAATTGCGAAACTTTCTAAGCGGCAATTTGTTAATCACCTGACTACGCAACTTTGCCCTTATTTTATTCCTAGCTGACTTAAAATATAGTCATGATCATCAGCAGTAATTTTGCTTGTAGGTTTTTTTGTACGCAAAGGAACTTTTCGAAGTTATTAGAAAGTTCAAAATGAATTCGGGAATTTTAAAATATTACTGGATGATCAGCTGTCATGCTACCGTAACTGATACTCGTGAAACAAATAGTAGTAGTAGTGGTAGTAGATCTTTATTAACTCCATCATGTACCAGTAGTAATAATAATATACTCGTAAGTACTACACTATATTTTATACGAGATTATGTGTTGAATGTACGAGAAATTTAAGATCTCTGGTACGAGAAAAAGTTCTTGTCATCTAGCAACCCTGGTGAAAACACAAAAAAATCAAGGCCTTTCGCATTTAAAAATCGCACACCGGCCTGAGTGGGTACGACCTCCCGGTAGTAAAATGATTATTGCAGCTCGCTCGATTCGTCATTGTGTTTTGTTACAACATAATTAAGTTGGTGTGATTTTTCCATGGCATTAAGCATGCACAAAGCGCAGAAAGGGTTGTTGCCTTTTTCGTTAAACGACCCTTTTTTAAGCTCACTCGGCCAGAATAAAGATCGCTAGCCCGTGAGCGATTCAATTTTAGAAATGTTCGTCACGGTAAAGGGTAGGTATATGAGAAACTCTGCTTCTGTTAGATCCACGCCCTTAGACTTATTTCGTTATAGACGTGGTAATAAACTGGGATACAGTTCCATCAGACAGTTTGCTGTTTCAGTGTTGCAGTGGTCGATTCTGGTAATAGATGACACTTTTCTGCCTTTCTTGCTAGACTTTCGTTCGTTTTCCTACCTGAGATCAAGCCTAAACCATGCTGATGAGTTGCCAAAAGCACGAAATAGCCTTCCATGGTTGGCCGTTTGTGGTCGGATAGACGAAAGGTATATTGTTAAACATTTAAATCGAGATTTATTAAATGTAGGAAACTAAAACATCGAAGAAAAAGTGTATTGTCTGATTGTTATTTGTTCGTATTTAACCACGCCATCTATGTAACAGTAGCAGAATACAAAAGTAAATATCGAAATCTACTTTGAAAAGTATTTGGTTCTTCTAATGTCTTATAGATGGCGCTAGGATCTCCAATTCCTTTTTGGCCTTTCTAACGCCTATTTCAATCTGCGAATACCTGAATAAAATAGGCATTAGAAAGGTCAAGAAGGGATTGAGGGCACTAGCACCATCTATGGGACAGTAGCGTGACCTAACACCCTAAATATACTAAGTGACATATAAATCCGAACACCCAGTTTAAATGGTTTTATTTTAATAAAATTTTGTATAAGTACTTAATGAAGCATAAGTAAATAATAAAAATTTCAAAATGATTGCACTGCTTTAAAGCCCTTTGACCTTTAATCATGTGTGGATGCACCCTGATGTGCTACGCATTCTCCAACGCGCCTAGGCATGCTTCTGATCAGGTGGTCAATGTCCTCCTGTGGTAAATTGAGCAATCTCCTACCCATCATATCCCACACGTGCTCAATTGGGGATAAGTCGGGAGATCTTGGTGGCCATGGTAACAATGTGACATCATTATGTTGAAAGAAGTCTATTGTGACTCTTGCAACATGTGGTCGGGCATTATATTGTTGGAAAGTTGGATCTGCCAGGGTGTCAAGATAGGGTAAAAGATGGGGTTCTAGAACTTCATGGATATAACGCTGCGCGTTCATGTTACCTCTGATGAAGATTAAAGGTGACCTGGAACCATAAGCTATAGCACCCCAAACAATAACTCCAACAGTGTGACGAACATGTCTTTCAACAAAAAACTGTGGATTCCTCCTTTCACCACGTCGCCTTCTAACCCTGGCACGACCATCGTGCATGCCTAAACAAAATCGAGACTCGTCACTAAAGACAGTACTGTTCCATTCCTGATCCCAGAGTGACCTTTGTCTGCACCACTCAAGGCGATTACGTCGGTGTTCTCGAGTTAAAGGGAGGACCCAGTGTGGCCGGTATGAAAACAAGCCAAAACTTCTCATTCGTCGGTAAACACTTCGCATGCCAATAGGTCTTCCGTGTTCTGCAAACCATTCATTTGCAATGGACCTGGTAGTGGAGAAACGGTCCCTTAAGGCCAATAATCTTAGGCGGCGATCTTCACGGTCTGTTGTTCTACGGCGGCGTCCAGTGCCCCTTGCTCTTTGCGTACGGCCTTCTCGAAGCCATGCTTGACAATACCTAACCACAGTGTCTACACTTCTTTGCACTCTAACTGCAATTGCCCGAAAAGAAAGTCCAGCTTCCCGAAGTCCCACTATACGGCCCCTATCAAACTCACTAAGTTGGCGAAATCGTACAGGTCTCCGTACTCTAGGCATCGTAACCGATCGTAAGGGACGTCAAGAACCAAAATCCGCCAACGTTGATTCTTTACTGCGGCTGAAATATTCATTTTTAGAGCGTTAGTGTATTAAAAAAAGCAGTATAAAAACCGGAATGTCCAACTGATAAGGCTGAAAATTTTTTCACTTGTTATTTACAGTAAGATAAATACATTCACCAACTTTTATTAAAATAAAACCATTTAAACTGGGTGTTCGGATTTATATGTCACTTAGTATATTTTCAAAGTTGGTTTTTAAATTCATTTGTGTGTTCTGCTACTGTCTCTTGGTGATAGTATCTTCAGGTAGACTACGTCAATCAAGGTTCATTTAAAAAAACTTACCGCTGAAACTTTATGGGAAATTGCTTTCGAGATTTTTTAAATGTAGTATGTAGTGTGTCAATGTAATACAGTTTTTAACATTTTTTTGAAAATGTCTGTGTTCAGGACAAATACCTTATCCATGAAAGTTTGTACTTGCGATAGAACTGCGATGTTGGTGAACAGGCCAGTAGAGTTGACGATAAGTATGTAAATAAATATCAAACAGCTATTACATATCGTTTACTGAATTCACAAGGCGTTGCAATATGACATAGGTTGTCCGACTTTTAAACTACTCGAGGAGAAACCTTATTCTAAGTGCTGAGGACAACAACACCAAAAATAAAAAAGCAAAGTCATTTCACATGATGTTTTAGCGGTTTTTTTCTGAGGGCGGCTTCATGATTTCTGCTAATTCTGTATCTATGGTCGGGAATAAAAACTTCTGCAACCTACGTATACGTTTCATTGTATGGACAATGTAGTATCCTCTTTTTGAAAAGAGATTAAATAAATTCTTTTGTCCGTCTCCGAGATTTATGTCCAACAATGTTATATTTCTAAACAACAATTCGAAAATTATTACCAAACCGC